GGTAGAGTCAATTTTCCGATTAGGAGAAGGAAGGCTGGTGCGATTGATACTACGGTGGATCACTCGATGGTTCACTGTTACCGTTGCATCCGGCATTCTATCGCTGCGAATCACCGAGAATGATCAAAATTACTTAGAAATAAAGAAAAGTCATGTAAAATCATGAATAAAGAGGAATCACTAGAAGTAGTATTGGCAATCACTGAACTTAAAGAAAAACCAAATGCAATCAGTGCAAATCAAGGCTTTACTTTCAACTTTGTTGATGAAGATTTTCTATGATTTAGAATGATCTTCATTGGTTTCTGATAATTTCCCATAGTTTCTAATTGCTTTTGATATTTTCTGACACTGTAAAACCAGTTTCAGTCAATAATTCGTATAATTTTGGAATTAAAGTGATTTTTGTAAAAATTTCAATGATGTCTAATGAACTCCTAGCTCAAAATTCAGTTTGCTCCCCCTATATGCAGGAGTGTAATGTGATTGAATGCTCCTCGATCACTGCTCAACTTTGACATCTATGAATTTATTGTCTACTGTCTTTTAACAAGAAATCTTATGAGGGGTGTCCAAGGACTGAGAATTAGAAATTCCTTCTCAGCTTCCATACAGTTTCTTGCATACTAAAGGTAAAAATATGGAATATTCACGATAATTTTTGTTCTTACGCTCATTTTCACTTGCAAAATTGTGAGAACCAATAGTTCCGTACACAAATTATTTTTAAAAAAGCAATATCGCGACTTTCATTTTTTTTTGGATATTGCTATTTTATTGTTACGCTCGGAAGCGCTTACATGAGGATAACTTTAAAAGTTAATAGTACAACATATAATAATCTGTAACAGCATATTTAGAAGTTCATATTCTTTACCACAGGCTATCATACTACTTTTTGAGCTGTTGTAGGAGGAGAAAAAACATAAGGAGAGAAAAAAAAACAAAAGAACAAGAAAATGCACGTGAGAAACAAAAATGGAAGGAAAAAAAGAAAAGAGGCACAGGAAGAATAAAAAGAAAGGCACAGCGATGCACACATGGATATTTAACCAACAAACTCAATCCATTTAAGCAGTAGAGTCTCATGTCTATCTTTCAATTTTTTCACTCTTCTCATCCGAAAGAAGTGACCCATATTATCTCCTTTACTTTTGTTATAACTGTCCCAAAAAAATATATCATTGAAAAAAGGCGAACGTTCTAAATCAGTCTTATTCATTTGCTTTAATCTATTTTTAATGTATTTTTTAACATAGAAGTCAAGAGGGTTTTCATTGATTATTGCAAATAGATTCTGTTTTGATACAAAAGGACACCAATGAACAAGTCTCATCCCTGCTCGAAATTTACGTCGCAGGGTTTCTTGATGGATTTTTGATAGCATCGGAAAAAGAGGAAATAGCCAAGCGATATGTGGAAATGTATATGCAAAAAAAGCAAGTTCGTAATACTGTTGTTGACAACGATTTTCCTGATCTTAACCAATTTAATTTGCCAAGAGACCTCCGTATATTGTCGGTACATCTGCCAATTGTTGGTTTTAATGACATTTTACTAGTCCAAGTAAAACCAAGGTATTTAAAGGACTTAACCATTTCAATCTTTTGTCCATCCATGAATATATTTATTGGGGGCAGGGTCACCGGTGAATGAAAAAATTGGGCCACTGTTTTACTAATATTTATCGGTTGTTTCCATTTCCTCAAATAGGCTGAAATTTGATTACATACTTTAGTTCCTTCGTTTTCTAAATATTCTATTATTGGAGAAAGTTGTGACGATAATGGGGGGCGTATCAAGACGTTCAGATCATCCGCGAATACATGTGCAGAATGCGCTCCGAAGCAAGAAATAAGATCACTATGGAAAACAATAAATAAGTATGGGCTTAAGCTACTCCCTTGCGGAAGACCAATACATATATGGAACATGTTTGAGCTCGAACCTCTAAAATCTACGTAAGCCCTCCTGTTCTTTAACCACGATGCAATAATTTTAAGCAAACCATATTGCATACCCAAACGATATAACTTAATCATGAGTGCTTCATGACACACTTTGTCATATGCTTTCTGATAGTCTACGTATAAGGCAAGTGTTGGTACATTTGCTGCCATATTGTTGCTCACTTCCTGATAGATAGATAGAACTCGGATGGACAGGATACCACCAGGACGGAACCTAGACTGTTCCAATGGCACAAATTGATTACTTTCCGTCCAGTGTCTTACCCGTTCTAATATTACTTTTTTAAAGACTTTAGAATGTGTGGCAAGAAGAGATATAGGCCTTGTTTGATCACATCGTGGAATATCAGCTCTCAATTTATTTAGTGTGACTATTTTAGCTATTTTCCACTCTTCTGGATATCGATGCTCTTCGAGCCATACATTAAAGCAGTTTGCTAAGCAGGCGATATAGCTAGACGGCAACAGCTTAATCATATAACTCGAGATGAGATCGAAACCTGAGGATTTTTTTGATTTGAGCTTTTTAATGTACTTTGTTATTTCGAAAGCATTTGTCTTTTCTATTTTCGCATCCGTATTTCTTAATTTACTCAACAATAAGTTATACTCTTTTTCAATTTCTACATTATGGGGATCCGTTTGACTTATTTCGGGCTTTTTGAATTGTTGTTCATAATAATAATAAAGCACATCAACTATATCATGTCTTCCTGACACAATTTCTTTTCCGTTGTCTAGTTTCGAAAATGGTAAACTCTTAGACTTGTATATGTGAGACATATGAGATCAAAATGCCTTTTCTGATCTATCATACTTCTCTTGAATTGTTGATAGAAAGGATTGCCATCTGTTCGATTTATATTTGCCGATTGCTGTTTTAACTTCCCGCGTCATTACTCGTAATAAAACACGAGTCTCTTCATTTTGACATCCACTCATTCTTTCTCTATAATAAGTATTTCTGACACGTCTGACTTTTTTCAGCTTATCTATTATATTAGGCGGCAGCGATGGCCGGTACTTTTCTTTTTCCTTCCACGTGGTTACTCGATTTTTCACTGCTGCAAGAAATCGAGTATAAGAGTGGTACCATTCATCTGCTGACATGCCATTTTGCTCTCTTATCCAGAAATTCTGAAGAAGAGCCAACATACCTTACATGCCTTCCATCGAACAAGTGGATAAGAATTTGTTATTTCATGGTCTACATTTTCACATGTAATTACAATGGGCCAGTGATCACTGGTTCCAAAAAATAAAGTTTGTGCGCCTATACCATCAATATTCGAAAAAGTCAGATCGAGGTCAGGTAAAGAGCGCTTAGATGTGTGTGAAGTGGAGGGAACGTATACGAGGTTGTTCTCATCTATCCATTCTTTCAAAATTCTCCCACGTGTATCTGACGATGGACTGTTCCGTTTTTCTAATGAAGCATTAAAATCCCCTGTGATGATTGTTCCTTCAATTATGAAAGGTCGTATATCATCGAGGTTTCGTTTTTGACCTTGAGGCCAATATATTCCAATTATACGTATGGGATCGGAGAGGCCTACAACGTCGATAATAACAGTATTTTCAACTTTTATGTCTATTTGAGTAGCTTTGAGATGTTTTTCTACTGCTACACTGACTCCTCCACTACGGTTTGTACCTTGATAGTGGAAAGTGTTAAAATGTGGTAAAGAAAATGTATTCCATAGTTCACCGACTTCTGTGAAAATACTAATTGATGCATCTACTTTATACACTAGGTCTGCTACTTCCAAATACCGCGTTCCCCAACCTTCAACATTATAGCTTAGAATGTTTAGAGGTACCTTTTGTGAGGGAGGACAATGACTCTTACGTAATTCCCAATTTTGTAAAACAGTATCTAACGTACTACTCGAAAACCACTCATCAATCAGTCTAAGTGGAAGTTGATTATCTTTTTCTGAGTCTCCATTGAAACAATTGTTGCAACGCATGTGCCTTTCTGTCTGAGAGAGTAGTAGAAAAAGAAGAAGGATAGAAACTCTTAGCGGTATGACGAAGCTGCGCCATTATGTTTCATGGTTGTTTAATTTATCAACAGCATATGATGTTACTGTATCATTAGTTGACTTGGCGGTTGCTGTTTCATGTAATGCATTCCTATCCATATTGGTATCAGCTGTTAATTCATCAAGAATGGTTGAAAACGGAAGATATTTACCGACGGGATCTACTCTTTTCAATTCGCATAATGGATAAACGATCTTTGCCATCACATCCTTTAGAGATTGTAGTATATTTTTTACAGACTTTTGTAATGATTCCGACATTTGTGCTGCATGATTCAGTCGTACATTCGTTTCGTCGAGCTTCTTTTCCATTCTTAGGTTATTATCTGTCATAATAGTTAGTTGTTTAGTAAGTGCCGTAAGAGCATTGGCAATATTAGCTGATTCAAAAGTTGACTGCTGCTGAGGTATATGCTTATTACCCCAAACAGGTATGATACGTTGCGCTTGACCAGTTATAGCTGGAAAATCTTCAGAATTAAATTCTGGAGTTTGTTTTGGTGGTTCTAATCGACGTAGTATACCACTTGAGAATGCCTTATCGACTTCTTCTTTCAGATGAGCCTTATATGTTCTAATAGTTTGGCATTGACTACTAAGCGAGTGATGGTTTCCATCACATTGAGCACATCGTGGCTGATAAGAACTAATGTGCGTTTGATTTTCAGCAATTTCTTGAAGACATACACGGCATCGAGCAGATGATGCTTGACATTTATCTCTCAAGTGTCCAATGCACCAACATCTCGTGCAGTAAGTTATTCTATTACCTTGAAGAAAAGATGTGATGAGTGACATAATATTTCCGATCGATATACGTCCCATACTTAGCGTTCTGTCGTAGCCACTAAAGTCCTTCACGTTGAAGCGATAATCATCCGTTTTTCGCGTATAGCCGTATTGAATTCGTTTTACATTATCGATTGATCCGACTGATTTCGATATCTCTTCTTTTACAAAGTCATGATTCATGCCTCGCTGTACATATCGAATAATGAGTGCGAAGCAATCTGGAATAAACTTCGGTTTTTGAACGATCATCGGTACATCCATGATTTTCGTAGGCCATTTGTCGGTTGACACTAATTTAATGTAATCCTCGTTGCTATTAACACCTAATTTTAGTTTCGTTCCAGCCCAGCCAACGAATGTAAATCTATTAATTTGAAGCTCCTTCTTGTTTTAGATTTTCAACAATTTTTTCTGCAATATTAAAGGCCGATAGTATTTGCTGAGTGTTAGTTGAACGATTGAAAACTACATAGAAGCATGGCAAATTACTCGAAACCACTCGGTGAATCTGACCAGAAAAGNGCTTTCTTGAAATAACGCTCTACAAAAAATGCATGAAGTAAGAAATGGAATTAGCTTTTTTGTTATTTTTTCATAAGCATGTGCAGCAGCAGAAACAACGGGTGTGGACGTTGGTGTGAGTGTGGGCGTGCATGAGTGCAGTGAAAAAATACACCCACACCCACACCCCACACCCACACTCCACCCACACCGACACCCCACATCCACACCCACGCACATCCCCACACCCACACCCACCCACCCACACAGCCACACACCCACACTCTTCCTTTTTCAGAATAAAAGGCCATGGTCTTCTATTATGGAAAATCACATCACTCGTCTCAGGATGGCTTTCTAGTAACATTTTTATGGTTAAAGTATCCTTTTTTGATAGCTACTAATTTTGTTTTTATGAATGTGACTAAGAGAAAAAAAGTAGGTGAAGGGCATGAACATTTTTTGAGAGCTGAAAGTTTACATAGGTTTTTATAGAAAATATGATTCTAGCTGAAACAAACTGAAAATTTTCTAAAATTAGGTGACGTACACGACTTGCGCCTTCCCTATCTCATGACCACATCTCTGTTTTTTTTTTAGCTCAGCAACTCAATATTGCAATGGACCTAGATATTTTGACTTATTGGTAGTTGTAAACTAGGATGGGGTGTGGGTGTGGGTGGAAGTGGGTGGGTGTGGTTGTGGGTGTATTTTTTCACTGCACTCATGCACGCCCACACTCACACCAACGTCCACACCCGTTGTTTCTGCTGCTGCACATGCTTATGAAAAAATAACAAAAAAGCTAATTCCATTTCTTACTTCATGCATTTTTTGTAGAGCGTTATTTCAAGAAAGCAATAGGAACGGTTGATTGGCATCAGAGGTGCTGGCAATCAGAGAATGTACACTTTACTGTTGTCACTTGAGGCATTCTTAGAGCCACTTGTGTGTGTGCGTGTTTATCTTGTTCTCTCGATAGAAAGCTACGTAAATAATACACCAAACTCAGCGAATAGTCGCTATGCATTGCTCTTAAGGTTTTTATGCCTTGCACGAGTACTTATCGGTGAAGCAATTGCTTGTGAAAGATATCAAGCAAAACACAAGAGAGAAAAATATTGTGTGCATAACACATTACGAAGCTAATATAACGAAAAGAATACAATGCATCTGATCCTTCTTGCGTTCGTCTATCTCATTCGGTTCATTACAGCTGAGGACATGACAATATTAAATTCAATATATCCGTGGCTACGGCTGCCACCAACACCTCAACTTCCTTCTCCTCGTTCAGACCGATATGCAGAAATCAATAATATTAGCATCTGGTACACCATTTATGGGCCAGACAATGGTATGCCTCTTCTTTTTCTTCACGGTGGATTCGCTAATAGTGATTATTGGGGATTACAAGTTCAAGAGTTGCAATACACTTACAAATGTATTCTGATGGATTCTCGAGCACAAGGGCGAAGTTCATCATCTTCTGAAAATATTGATTATGATCTAATGACTTCTGACGTCGTCGGTCTCCTCGACTACCTTGATATTAATCGGATCCATCTCGTTGGCTGGAGTGATGGAGCAAATATTGGGTTCAATTTGGCGATAAAATATCCTCAGAGATTAATTTCATTGTTTGCATTCGCAGCAAACTACGCTTTTTCGGGTTTAAAAGACTTGTCTGAATCATCTGTCGCCACTGCCTATTTCACACGTATTCAGATGGAATACGAAGCGATGAGTCCGGTCAAGCAGTTTCAGCATTTGTACAATAATTTAACGACTATGTGGGGTAGTCTCCCGAATTGGACGAGAGACGACTTTGCCAAGATTTCTTCAGATTTACCTGTATGGATAGTTGTTGGCGATCACGAAGAAGCTATCAATAGAGAGCAACCAGATACGATGGCTAGTTGGATTCCACAAGCGGGCGAATGCATTCTACCGAGAACCAGTCATTTTGCGTTTATACAGGATCCCGAAATGTTTACTATGGTTCTAGCAAAGTTCTTGGCTGAGGCGGATTGCCCGACACATGACTTTGTTGACGGTCTAGCACATCACAACAGCTGTTTTCGGCCCTAACTCGACTCATCTTCTACTTTTATGTTGGCGATCATGTCTGTGTATATGTTTGCCTACACTGTTCAACTTTCATACTATCAACATTGGCCATTTTTTACCCTTCTTTTTAAAAAATATTACAATAAAATGAACTGCAACATATGTAACACCTTAAGATAAAAATCAGGTGTTTTGGTTTTATTCGTTCAAACTTTGACTCTCCAAACAAACTTGCTAGTTATTTCGTAGTCCACAAAATGCTCTATCGTTCAGCTATGTTCCATCAATCTTCACACTAAAGTCCATCACTTTGAAAAAGATATCTTTTTTCATCAGTTATAAAAACGCGTGCTTCTAAATTAACACTTTTGAGACCTTCAGAAAATTTTGTAAAAGTTGACCAAAATTTAATCTTTTGAGCTTATGTTTTGTCAGTTTGAGGAGAAATGAATGCTACGTATTACAGTCACCTCTTAATGAGAATAGAATTATATACTCGTATGCAACGAGAAAAACAAGTCAAATTTCGGCTGCTTTCAACCTAGTTTCGAGGAGTTGGCCCGTGCGTCATAATACCTAGTTGAAATGAGCTTCATATTGTCATCTTATTCAATAATAGAACAAATAGATAAATTTTTCAAAAAGAAAACATCTAGGAAGTTGTATGTGTTCCAGAAGTGCAGTATTATTCCATCATTTTTTGTAATTGAAAGTTTCGAGCAAACGCTCGTGTGTAACTTCACAGGGAATCGAATAGGAAACCTTTTAAAACTAAGCACAAGTTTCTATTTTTGATAACAAAAGACTATTTCATTCATCGCTCGAAAATTTGCTTCGTTGGCCCCAGAGGCTCGGACAACGAAACCAAGATAGACTTTTGCACTACTCATGAGGACCCATCTAATGGTAATAGTCTAAAAAAAATACGATTTGACAACTGAAAAAGTTCTCGCAAGAGGCAATCATATTCGGCTAATCGTTGGCGATTCATCATATAAACTGATCATTTATATTCGATTGTTTCAATGAAATTCTCTTAACATGGAAAACTGAGAAGAAGTATCTCTGTCGAATCATGATCCACAGTTGGTAATATTATCGTTATTTCTTTTGTAAAATTAAATAGGTCGATCGCATTGGACTGTGGTGCATCTCAGGTTGTTCTTTAACCCGTTCTTCGTACATGGTCCAAAATAGATTTGTGATCTTCTCCTTCTCTTCATTCATCGCCAGTGCACACTGCAATGATGAATCTGTCCAACTACGCATGATCAATGCTTGTTCCCTAGCAAACTCATCCACAGTTATTGTACCTTCTTTTAATCGCTGCATCAAAGGAGACCTAATCACCACATGTTCTGCTTTGATCAATTCCAACGAATATTGAGTAAAAAGTGCACGATCGACGCAATCATCGTACCAACGTACATGAAGTGGAATGGTATACTCAAGTAGTTCCTGCGGCGTCAGATGAGCTTGGGCACATTCATAAAGCAGATGCATGTGCATGGATGAAGAAGCTACAGCTGATTCTGCCCGATCCCATGAGGGGATCGATAGAATGAGAACACCACCTTGAACAAGTTCGCGCGATCGATGTTCTAAGAAGTGCGCATAATCCAAGTGGGACTGACGAGCAAATGCCAAACGATCTGAGTCGTCTTCGGGTATATATGCGGAACAACAATGGTTTTTCAAGTTGCACGGTTTACATGAAAGCCAATGAAGCGACGAAGACGAATAGCCGATGGAGAGGCTATTTTCAGGAAGGCACTGCTCGTAGAATGATCTTCCACTGGCCACGCCGTAGTACGATGAGTTATTTCCTGCATTAAGGACTTGAAACACCGATGACCAATCGTTGGTAGGCAAGTCATTGTGAACAACGAGTATCGGTTGAGTCTTGTCGACTTTATTCTTTTCTCTCAACGATTCAATAATCATATTCATAGCATGAAATGAATTGAGACCGTGTGCTGAGCCATAATCAGCGATGATTGTTAGGGGTGAACTTGAGGAGAACGCGTTGATCGCGTGATCGATGTAGGATTTTGAAGTGAGTACAACGGACAGTTGACTTGAAGAATTTAAATTGTAGCATGCACTCATGCCCGACGTTGATGCACCAGCCATTTCTTCAACGGAAACCAAACACAAAAAGACAGTTGTATTTCGTCAAGAGATAAGAAGTATCAGCAAGAATTGTTGAGGCCTGTGATGAAAGGTGTTACTTAGTAGAAGATAAGATTCAGACTGTTTTGAAGTATCTTCGTGTTGTGTGATAAACTGGTAGGCAATATCTTTTACAGTAGCTATCAACTTGAATGTAGCATGATTGTGGTATGATGATGTCTCATTGTACAGCTCTATTGTGCATTGTAAACTCTGATCCTCTTGGAGCCGTCTCTATCTACATATTTAGCGTGCATCATAGCGAACAATGGCTCGATTAGAATCGGATTTGAAACAAAACTGAGATTTTAATCAATTCTGTGGATTTTCATTGTTGCTAGCCGAAACTCTCAATTCACATCCATATAAACTATTGATGTCTAGAAAAGGCATAAGAACGTTGATCCTGATGCTTATTCGTTGCGGAGTTATCGATTTTTTTACATGCGATGGTAAATTCCTATTTCCAGGAATTTCAAATAAGGTGTGGATGTGAGTCTAAGTGAAGAGAAGCAGCTAACATCCACATCCAACCCAACCCAACCCGACCCAACCAGACTCAACCCGAAATGAAACCATATATTATGTATATATATATAAATGCGGGCCACGATTCGATAAAAATTTAAGAACACGTCTTTTATATTCACATTTTTTTATGAAGTAGTAGGAGAAGAGTTACATGTGTAATAATACAAAATGTGCTTCTATATATGACAATTAGCACTGGGCATTGTCACATTAATACTGTTTCTTTCAATTATTCTGCACTTTAGGTGTAGCCAATTTTGAATTTCGTGAAAAACGGAATTTGCCATGCTCTCCGAAAATTCATGATTCGAATTTTTTCGTGATACCTTGTAGTAAGCCGAAAATTGAGTAAAACGATCGTAACTCGGGAGCAAAGGCACGAGGGAATAAATTCTTTTCAGGTTTTTCATGCCTCATCGAGGTCTACTTGTGACAAAAAGTTGGGCTCTAAAACGCTTGAACATCTAAATATTCTCCCTCGTCAGTTACCGGGACCGACTTTTAGAAACACGTTTTTGCTACAAAATGTAACAATCGAAATTGATAATAATCTG